AAAAGAATCGAATTTTCTTTCTCCATAGTCACCCCAGTATTGTAATGCTGCTGGTGATTTTTGGTCAAAAAAACCCATATTGTAGGACCCTGATAAAAAAAAGTGGATAAATCTTGTTCCTGTGTATAGTACATTACTAAATAAGATCAAACATTTTTTGGACAATTACATCAAGAATGACTAGTATTTAAGATGAGAAACGAGTGAAGGTATATTGTACAGCATTTTCAAGAAATCTATTAATTTTGTAGTACAAAATTGCCGGTCAGATGTTGAGATCGTTAGGGCAGTAGTGCCGTAGCTGTCTTGGACCAGAAGACTGTGGGCTTGAGTCCTGCCTCGGCCATGGCTGTATTTGTTTATGTGTATATGTGTGTGCCATCCTTTCATCCTTCACTATCATTATTATTATCATCATCATCATCATCATCCATACCCCCAGGGCTAACAATATTGGGGGATAATAATTGGGATTCAGCTAAAATGCTAATTCCCCCAATAAAGTTACTTGTACCTGCTGAAGCAGGATGCACACATGGTCAGAGTTGCTCTATAAGCGAGAAAAGAGGGGAAAATTACAAAATGATAATTGTGCAAATAAATGTAAAAGTATACATTATTTATTACAACAGACAAGATCATGTCTTGATAAAGCATTATTACAATAGAAACAATTTAAAAATATCAATACAGAAGTGCTCACATAATCGCAGAAAGTCAATCGCAAAAGTCATAAAGAGCAATAGTCATAAAGAGCAATAGTAAGTTGTGTTTTGAAAGTTCAGGTCAGGGGATTGCAATATAGATTCACGATTTAGAAAAGTCCATGAAATTGCAATATAGATTCAAGAGTTTACATAATCTAACAAATGTCATAAAGGGATTTAGATTTAATGAACTATTTTTTTTTTAATCAGAAAGTTTAATGCATTTCATACTTGGCTGAATGAACATGATGTAACTAATGTGACTTGTTCTTTGTAGTTCTTTAGAAATCGTGTCAATCGAGTAGTTCCACAGGGGTAGATGTGTGTCAAAATTTCAGAATTTTGAATACCACTTAACTCTTCTAATTCCTTCTACTGTCTGATTGCTTCCATTACTGCTGCCTTTGCAGCCAATATGATCAACAGTCCCAACATCGGTGAATTTTCGAGTCTAGTTTCATAGCTGGCTCAAATTCAGCCGCTGTCTAGAAGATAATTCTCTTAATTGCTGTTTATGCTAGTTACTGACAGCTACGTCAACGTATCAAAAAGGACTACAAAATTAATCTCTCATGTTAATGGATAAAAATACAAAAACTTGTTTTATAGGTTTATCCCACCATTACATATGATTATTTTTCTTTTGCATTACTTATGTGTTATATTTCAACTAACATTAACATGGTACTTATTATTTTATTATGGATTATCTTTGTGTAATAGTTTTCTGGCAAAAATTTCACAGTTCTTTAAAGTATACTGCAGATGGAGCACGATCACTTGCGGAATCAACATTTTTGTTTAAAATAGTGTACTGAGCATAAAAGATTAAAACCAGTCATAAATATAATTTTAAAAATAATTATAATTAAAAAAAGCATAAGAAACAAAACTGAGCATAGAGAGAGAATTCTAAACATACTTTTTGGTAACCGTGTTGTGAAATATAACACCATTGTGTGCATCTGAGAAAATATCTTTGCCAAGACACAAGACATTGATCAGCTCCTTGTCAGAGTGTTTTCTTTCACAGAACTGATAAGAACTATGAAAGGCTGCAGAGCTGAAATGTGTAAGAAGAAATCAGAATGGTATATCTATGTGTCAGTGCATGTAACTCTGGGATAAGAAACCTAAACTTCACAAATGAGATTTTATTATTTTTAAATAAAGTGGATGGTTTTTCAGGTTTACAGTATTAACACAGGCCTTAGTAGCTCTTGATTCTGAATCACTATGTACTTTTGCAAAAGGTTTAGATGCTTGGGGATCTGTGGGCCCTATTGCATTGGTTTGAATAATACTCGACTCACTATATGTGCAGATCATTAGTGGAGGAAAGGATTCATCTCAGCCGATTGTCGTATATTTAGGAGTTCCCCTGGGTTCCCACCTTGGACTGTTACTATTTAATATTTTTGTTAATTATGTTAGTCAAGCATTGAGTAGAGAACAACACCAGTTTTTGCTGATATGGTGTGGTGTAGAGTTATTAAGTCACCTCATGTTAAGATAAGGTCATTAATGATTTTGCCAAATGGTGTGCAGATAATTGTCTTCTTTAAACCTTAATAAATGTTAAACTTATGTTATCTTCATCAAGGTATCCGATTGAGGGTAGCTATGAAATTAACATGTTGTGTCTGGAAAGAATTTCCGTATTTACCCGAATATAAGACGAGTTTTTTTCCGGAATATCTTCGTTTAAATATGCAGGGTCGTCTTATATTCACAGACTAACTCTGGTCGGTTAGGATTTAAGTTTTTACATTGCCATTTCATGTCACGAAACGTGTAAATGTTGACCAATATACTGCGAAGACAGTAAATACATCGCGCGTATCTAAAATACAAAATTATGTATGCGTTCATATTCTCTCCATCCACCGCGACTTTGCTGGGCAATTCAGACCGATATTTTGGAACGAACCTGCAAAGAAAATCTCTTACCGAATGGCGTTGTATCAAATGAAACAAAACGTTAAAAGAATGTCGAGAGTTTGACACGTTGCCGAGGCCATGTGGAATGTCGGTTCGACGCCTGGCGAATTCAAATCTGCGTTTTGAACAGAAACAAGAGGCCATCAACAAGTGCGGGACGGGTAGAAAATCTGGTGACAGAAAAGAACATTCTTCCTCCAAATTGGGATACCTCTGCTGAAATAGTTTAGAGTTTGTTGTAAATTTTTTGGTCAAACATTTACATGGTAAAATTGATTGCTCCCTTTTGCTAAATACAATTGCTGATAGTATTGACATGAACCGAAGCTGTGCCAACATTTTGGTTTCTGAAAGGATCGCGTGGAGATCACTTTCTTAATATGCTGATGATAGATCCCTTTTTTAAAACATGGCATTGTTAGTGTTTCAGTTTATTTTTGTGTCCTGTAGTTAATACCACTTTATTCTATTTTATTTTATATTTTTTAGTTTATTTTATACTTTCTTAATTCTTTATGGTCTCTCTGAGTTAGTCGCATATTTCATTTTTAACTTTATTCCCATATGTAGTATTTTCAAAAGTTTGATATGTACTTCATGAACAAATTGTCCATGAAATTGTGAAAATAATTGTGATACTTTTGTTGTGTTAAACCGACCCAGGGCATCAATTGATGTCACTGCAATGCTTTTGACCGAGATGACTTTGGGTGCGAGTCCAGACAGTGGCAGGGTTTCCGACACTAGCTATGTAGTTGAATTGAATTCAGTCACTGTCTGAAGGAGAATTCTAGCGGATGGCTGCTCTCATCGGTATTTTCCATGGTTTCTTTGACTAGCACTTGGCAAATGCCAAAGTAGTAGGTGCTCCGCTGGTGAGAGATACATGATTGGGGAAAAACCCTGCAAGCTGACAGGTAGTTCAGCACCATATCTCACCATCCACTAGGGGAAGATTACCATCACTTTCCACAATAAAGTGACCTGCACACCCAGAATCGCTAATCAATCATTCTGTACTGTCCTTTCATTAATTGTGATACTTTTCTTTTGTAATTGTTAATTGTATTTCTTATCTATTTATTTATCTATCTATCAAACAGGCAATCGCCCAATATACATTACATTCAATATTTACTTAATATAAGTTAATTGTATTCGCATACATATTCATATTTTTCCTTGCTAAATCTAAACAATTTGATAGTGATGTAAAAAATATATCTATATCACATGTGTTTACTAGTCTACTCATGCCACATAGGTGCATTATATTCCAGTTTTATCATTATTTATCGTATTTCGCATAGGTACATCAAAATTCAGTTTGGATAACAGTGCAGTACAATCAATATCATTGTTTATCAATTTATACAGAAATATAAAATCATTGAATTTTCTATGAGAATGTAGTGAGCTAATGTTCAATAAAATAATTAAAGACGTTGTCATTGCCAACAATATTATTTAATGCAAGAGCAGCTTTTGATGGCTTAGCCATCATCATCAGTTGTCTGCTGGATGGAAGCCACAAAAACGACTACGAAGTAGTTGTCGAAAGTTTCGTTGTTATAATTGATTCGAATAACTTTGGAATTACTCATTATTGATATCGGTCTATAATTTTTTATATTTGAACAGTCGTTGCTTTTATGAATTGGAATGATAAAACTTTTTTTCCAAATATCTGGTAAATAGCCAACTTTGAGGGATGTAGAGAAAAGTGTATGAAGTGTAGGTGTAAGATTAATTGTGATAATTTTCTTTTGTAATTGTCAATTGTGATACTTTTCTTAATTACTTCTTGTTTTACTTTTCTAATAAAAAAAACAAGTAATGTTTCCTCATCAATTGGAATTGGATGAGAGACACCTGCGTGGTATTGCTGTATTTTTGAACACCAAAATCCTACTTGTCCTATTACTTCAAATTCACTCCAGTTGTCAAATTGCAATCCGCGAAAACTACTAAATTCTTCCATCAAATTTCGTGCCAATAGCACCTATGATTTTGTTGTGACCCAGTCAGTTTTTAATTTTTTATTGCTTAAGGGGTTTCTTATCCCCCCAAAAAAAAAAAAAGAAAAAGAAAGAAAAAGAAAAGAAAAAAAAGAATGAAACAATGAAGTTTTTATCTGCTCCAGTTGCTCAAATTTAACATAACAATCGCAGAGATAAAGGAAATAGTTACAGATGTTAATTAAAATTCATTTTGACTCTTATACATATCACACATATCCTTTATTTAGTAGACATGTTCAAATTTAACATTTGTTGATATTAAAAAAATTCAAAAATATTGTTTATGAATTTCATATTTATAAGTTTTTGAGTAATGAACTTTCTTTTTCAGGTGATACTGAGGTTGCCAGCACATCTTCTGGCCAACCTGCAAGACGTAGCTCAATTGCTACTGGGAACACTGATGTTGCCTCAGCTACTGAAAGTTTAGCTGAATCAATTGTAGAGTCTGTTCTGCGACCTACACTGCAATCTCAACCACCACCAGTTGATGGACCAGTGTTTTCTGAACTTACTACTGGACTTCTCTGCTCTCTTTCTGAGATCTTGCCTTCAGTTACTGCTCCCCAGAACCCCTTGCCGAGGTATTCCAGAAGTGGCTACCCCCTAAACGAATTTGGTTACTCACATCCTGATGATGTTTTTGTTTATGACAGTTCACCAGAATCTGAGTCCTCTCAGAGACATCTTTCTAGAGGCAGCTCGCTCATGACATTCCATCAAGCATCTGAGGCTTCTGATTCAGCAGAGCGATCTATGGGTGCTGGTGCTGGTGGTAGTGCTAATGCCAGTGCTCGCGTTCCTCCTGTTATTACCATTACCGATTCTCCTGACATTAGTTCCACAGATACACCTCCTGTAATCACTATTACTAATTCTTCTCCAGAGCGTACTTATGAGAGTTCTCCTGAGAATTCCTTTACAAATACACCTGTGATCACAATTCCTGGTAGTCCTCCACAAGCTATCAACACTGGTACTCCTCCTGTGATAACTATTTCAAATACCCCACCAGAACCTGCCACTTCCAATGCTCCTCCTGTCATCACCATCACAAGTACTCCTATGGGCAGTCCACATAGTCCTGCATTTACCATCCCTGATGATACTGCTTCTGTGATTGCCATCGGTGATGATTCTCCTGCTGTGATCACAATAAGTGATGATGACGATGGCTGTGATGGTGGCAGTAGTGGTGGTGACAGTGGCGGCAGCAGCAGGGGTGGTGAGGACGATGGTGGTGGTAGTAGAAGCAGTGGCTGTGGTGATGGTTGTGGTGGTGGTGGTGGTGGTGGTGGTGGCATTGGTGATGGTGATGGGAATAGAGGAGGAAATGGAGTTTCTTGTGGTGGAAACAGGAATGGTACCTGTTCCAGTGACAGTGTTTGTGGCAATCATTCTTTTGCTCATCATGCTAGAAGTGCTGCTTCCATTGACATAATGGCATTAAATACTCTAGAACAAAATTCTAATATCCCACAGTTTAATGGTACAGGAGCAGATGACGACTTTCCTCATGAAAACCATTCACATGGTGCAATGTACTTGGCATCAACTGATGGTAACATATTACAAGCTCCTGAGGAGTATAATTGTTTAGAGGAACTGTATGATGATAATCATCCTCCACCTCTTATTCCTTTGGAGGATTTAACAGACGATCGTCCTCCTCCTCTTATACCACTGGACGAAGTGCAAATTATAAGGCATGTAAGACATCAGTCAGTGTCCACTCACATTCGTACTATAACAGCTTCTGCCAGTCATTTGCATCTAACCTCAGACACGCACACTGTTGATAATAGTTCTACAAATTATGCAAATAGAGAAAACAGATTTCAAGCAATTGAGAGATTAAACTTCAATTCAGATCAACTTTCCAATGATTATATGGATTATCAGGATGGAATTTTTGGTAATGAAAATAATGCCAATGAATCTAATGATTTATCTGGAGCACCTGCTGTTGGTAGTAGTGGTGTTGATGTTGATGATGACGATGATGATGATGATGACGATGATGAAGAAGATGAAGAAGACATTATTGGTAGTATGAGTCTGTGTTCAGGTGAAGCAGCCAGTATTTTAATGGAAGAACTGAACAGAATGGAACAAAGTGACCCTGCAGAAAGAACTGTGGAAACATCAAGAAGTCACGTTGATAGTGAACCTAGATTGCATCAAAGAATGGATATTGCTTTCAATGATGTTTCTACAATTATTTTGGATCATTCAAATCATAATATACTTGAAGACGATAGAATGACTTCAGCAGAAGTTACGTCAGCAGATAATGCGATTTCTGATTCATGGCAGAGTACAGATCATGATCCTGAACACCTCCACTGCTCTCAACAATTTTCAGAAGAAATTGATAACTTGTGAGTGAAACCCTTTCTTTGATTGAGGTATTGTGCTCTGCACAATGTTTGTTTAATACAGGATTTCCACAGTTAACATTGTGAAATTCCGTTCATTTCACACACATTTTTTCACATAAAGTAAAATCAGTAAGTACTTCGTTTTACTTCTTTCTGTAGCAGTTTGAAAATTGGACTTTAGAATTAATATTCACTGTTTTAACTTTTGTTCTAATATTTTTCTCCTTGCATTATTTTCATTCAATTTTTTAAAACTATTTTTTTTTAAATTTTTTAAACATTTTTTTTTATTTCTTGTCCAGCAGGTGCAAATTATTTGTAAGGTAGGAAAATATTGGAAAGTGTGAAGGCTGATAAGAGTGTTCTTAGAAAGTTACATCTACTTATGAATATTTAATATTCTGTTCTATATTGCTTTACCAGATTTCTCTTTTTTCTGTCTTTTCCATTTATATTTTTCTCATTCTTTTCATTATTTGTATGAAAATATTCATGTGTTTTAGTGGTAATTTGTATTAATTCATGGGTACTTCAGTCAATGCTATATTCATCTTCTTGTTTATGTGCCTCTAGTTGCATCAAAAGTCTTGGACGTATTTTTTTAAAGTGTATTGAAAATGTTTTCATTTATTTTTCTTTGCTCTATATTTTCCCACCTATTACTTAATTGCAAAGAGAAAGTATTGAAGTATTGTAGTGCTGTAGAGGAAAGTGGCTTTTCTTTTTTGTGTGTGTCTGAAAAACTCGTTGTGGGGATATATGAGAAGTTGATAAGTCTGGTTACTATATGTAGTAAATTACTTCCTTTAACACATTATCCTCTTCAGAATCCACATTTTGTGTATCCTGAATACCACAAAATTACATTGCGGCAAAACATCTGTCCGTGGTCAATGCGAGCAACTGTTCAGATGATTTTGTCCAAATTTGATATTCTGATTGATCTAACTGAAGTCAAGCCCCTTAGAATTTGAAATGGATATTTTGGTTTTTGGGAGTACTTTATATGAAGCCTTAGCATTTTCAATTTTTTTTGTCAGAAATGGAATAGAATGCTTAAAAGAAATAAAGAATATCCATTTTTGTTAAACGCTAAATTTTCAAAACTTGCAGAAATTAATAATTTTGTTAGCATCTTCCTGCAACTAAAATATTGAAGATAAACATTGTTTCCTCAATAAAATCTGTTCAAAGATAGATCTTTAAATAAGTTTGTGTTCAAGTTTTTGTTACAGAAGTTTTGCATGAAGGAGGCAATTTTCAAAAAAATATTTTCTCAAAGCCGCTCCCAATTTTTTTTTCTTTTCTCTCAAATAGAGCAGTCATAAAACTTCTGTAACCCATTTTTAGTGAACTATCTGTATTTTCAAAAGGAACAAAACATTAGTAAGATATATTTTAATAAAACCTGTTCTAAAAAATTAATCTCCAAATAACATCATAAACATTTTTTGGAAATGTTAAATTTACATGCAATATTTGCTCTAAGTTAAGGCAATTTAAAACCCCTAAAAAATATTTTCTTAAAAACGTTGAACATTTTTTTCTGAATAGAGCAAAGTACAATTTTTAAACATGACACAGGTTCCATTTTTGTTGAATTATTTGAATTTTTTGAAATTTGCATTAGTTACATAATACAAGAAAGTGTTGTAGAACCACTAGTTAAATGGAGTTATCAACTAAAATCGGTTGACATAGGAAGTAGTTTCACTTTTAGCCATGATCTACGATTCCAAAAAAACATGTTCTGCTAGTCATCCACATCTAGAGGAGCACTACACATTATTTTTTTAATACAGTTTGGCAAGGTTTGAACTCTGATTACATAGCAAAAATAAATTGTATATTTGAAATTGTTAAAAACCTTTACAAATGTCTGAAATCATCTGTCTGGAATGAATTAACTAGCAACAGTTGTCTTGGATGGCTCTAAAACAAAGTGAAGAAAGTTTGTTTTTAAAAACAAATCCCAACAAATCTAGGTCTTTAACAAAGTTGTTATTGAAAGAAACTGCAAACATTTTTAATCCAGCAATTTAATCCTCAATCTGTAATGTCAATTCATTTATAAAAATATTTATATTGTATTTACCCTTGTGGTCTTCCCTATGTTCATATGTAATGCAAACATAAGTTTGTAATTTTCAGTTCATTGTAAATCACAAATAAATGTAAAAGTAATAACGTGGTCACCTGTGGCAGCAACCACTCTGCGCTATGTTTCTGTGGGTATGCAAATCTTCAGGTGTTGGTGTAGTGACTAGCATGAAAGGTCGATACAAATCACAAGTTATCTTGTATAATCATCTAAATTATTATTCATTGTTTCATCATTGCCCAGAATAGCTACTGACATTTTGTAAAGTATTGGCACATGCAGTTATAGATTTTAAAGCATTTCATGGAATAAGACTCCAAAGTTTTCTTTGAAAGTGTGCAATTCATAATCAACACAAGGACTTTTTCTTGGCATCCTGTGCAACTGTACAATTCACAATATTATCAGAGCAGAAAACCAATACATTAATTATGAAGAAAACTCATAAAACATGGCCAACCAGGCAAGTTCTTGAAGCTAAGCTCAAAGATCAAATCATCTTATATATTGTGGAAAAATTGATGAGGAGTGATGACAGTCTTTCATTTCATCTGTACAGTCTGTCAACATAATTTTTTTATTAACCATGATGTCATCTTTCGTTTCAACCATTAGGTTTTCCTCGGCTATGCGTTTTAACGGATTAATAGCTCATAGGTTAAGTCAGAAATATAAAGGACATCCTAAGTTGTATGTAGAGTGGATTCATGGGGAGCTGGGGGGGTATATACATTGGGATCTACGTGCATGTAATGAACATGTCATTCTGTCGACCTTTTCTTTGTTATGTGTACAAGACCATTTTTGAATTGGTATGATTTTTAAATTGGTGCATCTGAATTGTGTACAACAATTGGTCCAGTTGAATTTTGGTTTGCTTCAAAAATTGTAAAATAGAAATAAATTCAGTGGACTTCCAAGGGAACTTTCAATGACAATAAAATGACTGACAAACGGAGTTTGTGTATTTTACATTTAAATTAACTTATTTTGCTAAAGTAAGCAAGCAGGTGCCTTAACTTTAAAACTGCCATTTTTTACTCTCACCTAATGTGAACCCACATCATAGCTGAAAAATAGGTGTGACAGTTTCTTCCATTAC